ATTATAGATTAATAAAATTGAAAAAGGACTTGAATTGTGTTATTAATATAATGGATGAATTAAATAAATTACCTGACTTTACTAATTCAAAAATAAAATAAGGTTTATCCTTTACTACAGAAGTTAACAAATAAAATTTGTCGATCTTATTACTAATTAAGCAATGAAGCAAAGGTTTCAATCTTATTACTGATTAAGCAGATATTAACAGATTATTATGATTTGAGAGTAGATCATCGCGTGAGTTCAAAAGTATAAAGAGAAAGAGCATGCTAAATCCTATTTATAATAAAACAGAAAGGTCAAGAATGATAAAAACTCAGCAAAGTATGTTAAAAAAGTCAGTGTAAACACACACAAATGGGCAGCAGCAGCGTTAAGTTAAGCAATCATATAAAGTGATACCGCAGATTTCGGATAAATTTTATAACCACAAATAAAAAACTGATTTAATAAAAAAAAAGATAATAAGAATAAATAATGGCCATTTTTGCCATACAGGTATATGTACTGCAAAAACAACTGTGCCTCAAAAACCACTATGTAGGCTTAAGTGACCTAGAATACAGAACTGGGGTGCGGCAGCTGATGTTTACCATGAATTAAAGTTTCAACAGTTTTTAGTTAAGTCAAAAGCTGAGTTATTCTTTATACTAAAATATCTTTTTAAATTTTCACTTTGAACTAAAGTGAAAATTTTAATTTAAAAAGTTGTATTTATATTAGTTTTGCAGGAAACTAAAACAAATACACCTGGAGAAAATTAGGAAAGTTGTATTAGTGAATAAATTAGAAAAAAAATGACTAGGATATCTAAAAGTTTGTAGTCTACCAGATATAACATTTATAAAACAACAGGTTATTACAAAAGCATTTGGTCTTTATTTGATTTCTTTATTCAGAAAAAAAAAATTAATATTGCTGACAAATAAGACATTGCTTTAGGCCAAGAACTTGACACTTGCTTTGTTTGTAAATTTTACTTTTACATTTAATAAATCTGAGTTTCTTCTTTTTCCTTTTGGCTTTCTCCTTTCCTTTTGGCTTCCTCTTTTCCTGTTGGCTTGCATTTATTCTTTTTGATCTCCCTCATTTTTTCTGCAACATCTTTAGCACACATTGAACTGTAGACCTAAGTAACACAAGTAGATGTTTTTTTAAGGTTTGGTTAGAAGCTTTACTAAGCCATATCTTTAATCAAGCCTGATTAAACTTGTATTTCCAATAACTTGCAAAATTTTTCTTTTTACAAACTGTTGACAAAATGGTTGATTTATGAATTTTAAATTAGATTGACACTGGTGATGAGGTTCTTTTTGAATATATAAAACTTAAGATCACTCAAGTATATGAAGTTGCATGAAGTTAATACTTATGGCAAATGGTATTATTCCAACATTTTTTGCATTAAAGACAAGGACCTGTTTTGATGCCCATTTTTCCCATATATTGCCAAAGATTATCATAAGCCCCTATTGATTGATTTATTGCACTGGGTTGAAAAGAGAATTCTTGGAATTTTTGTGCCTGATTTTTCTTAATAATAAATAACCAAATTCATTTTGAAAGGAGGTATATTAAACCATAGTCATAAAACAGTCTGGCCAGATAAAGAGCGCTATTGTTTATCTTAGAGTTTGATTTTTTTAAATCCAGTCTACTAATAAGTGCATACTTTTTGTAAACAAAAATGGGTTAAAATAATATTTTTGAAAAAAAACTACTCTTTTATCCTTGTTTTTTTGCTAATGCCTGGTGTTTATTGTTCCATTTTTGGCTGTGGTACTTCTTAAAAAAATAAAGGTGTTTTACTTTTTAAAATTCATTCCTCTGATGATGATTTTAACAAAGAATGGAGAATAAATGTTTTGAATACTATAGGTACTTAAGATATTAGTAGTTGATAAAAGCCTTAGGTCCCAAATAAAAAAAGTTATTGTTTATTTGTGAAAAGCATAACAAGGTTATTATGTTAATTGCAAATCCAAAATAAACTACTTTAAAACCAGGTTCACTACCAACATTTAATTTTCCAAGCAATGCCATATTCTTCTTCATGTATGTTTATTCCTAAAGCACGAGCATTAGCTGTTTCTATATCCCTAAAGAAATCAACTTTTCCTGTTGAAGTAGTTCATGTTAAATCATATACATCTTTGGTCAAACGTATTAGTCTACAAAAACTTGACTGGGATGTAAATATTAATGAGACTTTTTTAAATTGAGTAAGAAGTAGAGAGTGACATGGGGATGGGTTTTTGTCCCCATCCCCACCCTGTTTATTGAATTATGCCCCCATTTCCACCCTGCTATCCCAGAGGTAGTCTCCATCCCCACCTCATTACCACAGAAGTTGCCCCTATCCCCACCCCATTCCCGCTTTCCTTTTAGGATTCTCCGCACTATCCCCGTAAGCGAAATTATTATTTCTATCAAATATTATAATATATTGTAATATTTCTTTTAATACTAATGTACATTTTTATTTTTTATAAACATTTTATAACACATACAAAAGACAAAAACTATTTTAGCCAATAGTGAGCCATAGGAAGAAAAGATAACCTATACTTACATGATGTGTACATTGGCTTCTTATTGTGTTGTCATTATAGCCATAATGACAATACAATAAGAAACCAATATACATTCAAGCTAATAGTAGAAACTAACAGTCTTGATAACAGTCCTGAACCAATGGCTTTACCAAATTTACCAAATTACAGACCAATTTGCCAAAGAAAAAATACCAGGCCAAAATCGGAATAAAAAGTAAAACCTTATAAAGGCCTTATTTTGTATAAAATAATTTATTTTAAATATTGTTTTTTTTTTACAGGGTTTTGGTAGGGAGGGATCTCCCTACTAAAACCCTGTTAAATCCTGTAAGTGAATATAGCATAAAAAATTTATGATTGTTGAATAAAATATATATTTATTTTATTTGTTGTTTAATAAAAACTAGCTGGGGTGACCCGTAAAATACGGGTCTTTACCGAACCGACCATTTTTATACTTATCTATAGCTATCCGGACGTAAACTAAGGGTCTTAGTAAATCTATTCTACACCGACCTTTTCTATACTTATTCCTTACCTCAATATTTTTTTAAAACCGTTTAAAAATGTACATATAAAAAACTATACTTACTTTTTGATATGACAAAAACATTTCTGTTAAAATGTTCTTTTAAAAACTTCAAACGATTTTAATATTATGCCGATTATAAAAATTTTAATAAGAAAAAACGTAAAAAAGACTACGAACTTAGAAAAATGCTAAAACATTCAACACGTGACGCCGTTAAAGTACGCCTTAGTTAACGTTCATAACATATACACATCTAATTAGATTTTATTTAAACTCAGTTGTTGCAAACTTGGTTTTGAATTTTTAATTACACTTCTTATGCGTCATAAATAATCTTAAATTTAAATAGAAAATACGTTTATGGGCTAATTGGTAGACGCGCAACACTTAGACATTTATAGTCATCTTACCCCGGGAGTTCATACTCCAGTGACTTTTTTTTTCATCCCAACTTACAACAAAAGTAATTAAAAATAAATGTTATCATTGAAACAGTTTTAAACATTTCTTCCTATTTATCTTTGAACTTAACTTTATTCACTGCAAACATACTTTTGGTGTTTGTAAGCGTTATTTTACGTTTAGTATTTGAAGGAAATATTTGCACGCACGTATTTTAAACAATTATTTTTACTGTTTCATCTAAAAATCTTATTTAATTTAGTTTAATAATTTCTTAAATATAATATATATAATATAATTTAAAATATTTTATTAACCCTATTTAAATAAGTATCAAACCTCTTTCCTTTAATTTAAAAAGAATTTAAAATTAACGTAGGCTATAACGATATTTTACCCTTTCATCAACATTTATTTAAAAAGTAAATTTGGATATAGAAAAACGGGTTAAAGACTTATTATTTTAAATAAGTTAGCTTTATCTATTTAATGCTTTTCGTAAAAGCGTTTCTTTAAAGACTCTTAACAAATCATTCAAGCTGTTTTTACTGCCTAAGTTATTAAACCTGTTGTGTGTGCCAAAAATCGATACTTAATGCAAATGGAAACTTCGAGTGCTAATGGTGATTAAAGCATAAATGGTTCCTATTCATATATAATAAAAGGAAATATGAAAGACAAAGCAAAAATGATTTTTATATCCATTTAAACCAATAAATCCCAAAATAAAAAAATATAGATATTTACTTAAAAACATATTTTTCTTGATATAAAATAAAAATATAACCTTTAGTACAAATTACAAAAAAAAAAATTTATTCAACAGAGCTACTTATAATACAATTTAAATTGAATCATTGTTTCATAAATATTAAGCTTTAGGTAAGCCATAATCAAGTCAGCTATAAGAAACGGAACTAAAAATGGAACAAAGTTATTTAAACGCATAATCATAATCATACACATTAATTACAAATTAACATGTCATGCAATCAATACTTTTGAAAACTCAAAAATGCGAGTAAGAAACTTACTTTTTTATTTTTACATAACCCTGACAGACCAACATGAATGTGAGCTAAATCTATTTGCATAAAACATCACAACAATTAATTAAATAGCAGAACCACCTCCAAAGGACAAAAAAATTAGTTTTTTAAGGAAAATTAGAGTTATTGGGAGGGGAGGTATTAATAAATAAAAAAGCTCAACTTGAATTTAAAAATTAGTTCATAGTTTTGTTGAGGGTTATTGAGTTATTCTGAGTTTATTATACATATTTTAAACTACTGACACCACACACTTATATTCTTAGTTCTGGAAGGTGCTAGATAGAATTTGATTGTGTGAAAACCAAATCCCTTTGAGATTAACATTAACTTTATCAAATGTATGACCGTGACTTTTATTTCTAGTTAATGAGCATTGTTGATAAAGGTGTCTTTATTTAAATGATTTACTTTGATAACATTTAACATTCATGGGAAAAATAAAAAACAACACAAAAATAAATTTACAAAAATATATTACAAAAAAAAAAATGAAGTGGCTCAAAAGTTGTCAATTTCTTTACATTTTAATATGTAAAAAAATTATTGACAACTTTTGCGCCACGTTGTCTTCTCCTCCCAGCATCCGCTCTATTCCCCGTGTTGTATGGGGTGCCATCCCTCCATCTAAAGGAGGGATGGTCGTCCCCATACAAACACCAGCGATGGAAGGCCCTCATAGATAGAGGGCCTGGATGCTGGGAGCGATACTTTCTGAATTCTTCCCATGACTTCGAGCCTGAAAAAAAAATTATATATAAATACAACTATGTACCAAGGTAATACTTACAAAAAATCTACTGTAAAAAAACAATAAAAGCAAATAATGTAATAAATTAAGTACAAGTGAGCACAACAACTTATTTATTTTACTCACTAATACTTGACTTATTACATTAACTAATTAAACTGGAAAGCACATTTGTAGCTATATTAAAAAACAAAAGGTACAATAAAAGCAATCAATCAATGTAATAAGTCAAGTAAAGGTGAATATAACAACTTACTTGTAACAGAAGAAGCAGCAGCTAGAAATAAATAAAAGAAAATTAAAAATGCAATAAAACCAATTAATCCATAAATTAAGTCAAGTATAAGTGAATAGAACAACTTACTTGTAACAGAAGAAGCAGCAGCTAGAGATAAATAAAAGAAAATTAAAAATGCAATAAAACCAATTAATCCATAAATTAAGTCAAGTATAAGTGAATAGAACAACTTACTTGTAACAGAAGAAGCAGCAGCTAGAGATAAATAAAAGAAAGTTAAAAATGCAATAAAACCAATTAATCCAATTTAAGTCAAGTATAAGTGAATAGAACAACTTACTTGTAACAGAAGAAGCAGCAGCTAGAGATAAATAAAAGAAAATTAAAAATGAAGAAGGCAATATAACAACACGGCCTGGTCTTACATTAAGATCATTAGCACGATTAATTACATGTTCATGCAATGCATCATATTGCTCACTTCTAAGTTTGTTTTGGTTATTTCTAATAAAAGCAAGGCGCTGTCCCTCAACTTTGACATATGCATCAACAACATATTGCTGAAAAAGTTTCTTACCATAGAATATAGGACTAAAAGTTTGTCTAACAGCAAGCCTATAATTATAATACTGAGACAAAGTAACATGGTTTCTAACACGGGTTGCACGGTCAGGGTTGTGCTCTAGTTGATTGTGCCATCCAGCATCACCTCTCGGGAAGAATATTGGATATACCAAAGGATCCAAATTTGCAGACATAGACGAAATTGTTCTTAAAGGCTGACCTCGAGGGTATATAACAATTTCCCTGGATGCAGGTGGAGCACCATCATCTCCCACAAACACAATAGCAACTTCCTCATGGGAAGGAAGATTGTATCGACGTCTATCATGACCTTCAAGCAAAGACATTCTTACAACAGAGGTTGGTCTACCTTCTAAAGCTGCTTGGCGGATTTCTTCATCCTCTACTTCTGCCATGTTTTTAAATGCAAGAGCAAATGGGTTTTCTTGATTAATTAATGTTTGCAAGAGTTGCATTAACTCATGTATACAACCATCATTACCAGGTTGTTCCATTCTGAATGACACTGCTGCATTAGGATCATAGATATACAGCTGACAATATTTGGGCAGACAACCTTCTGCAGGCCTTAAATTTCCAACACGATGCAAAATTTGCCCACAGACCCTAAAACAGAAAGGGCCATTATTTGAGGGAGGAGCTATTTCGGCAGTGAAGGAAGCAAAAGATAAAGAGGAATTATAACTCCTTATGTGTTTAAAAAAATTTTGATTTACAGCATGATCAACATGGTTTCCTGTCATTAAACCAGTCAACAATGGCGGATAAAGAGAAAGAGGAGCTAATGCAACTTTTCCTGAATGGCAGCACAAAAAATGAGTTTCATTTAAAAACTTCTTTGCACTGCAATACTGACAATTATGGTTTAATTCTCCGAGGTAGTTACTCTCTATAGCAATATTATTTCTTGCTATGCGATGCATATTATACCTATTAAGTTCTCGCCTAGCCTGATTTCTTTCATTTTGATTACAATTTATTTCAGCTCGCCGGGGCTCATCTCTTTCCATTCGACGACGATTTATCTCAGCTCGCCTGGGCTCATCTCTTTCATTTCGACGGCGGTTTATCTCAGCTCGCCTAGCCTGCCTTCTTTCATTTTGACGAAGTCTAATAATTTCATTTCTTAAATTATTAGACATAATTAGGCATCAAAGGAGTGTGTAAAAATGATGCCTAATATAATAAAAGTTGAAGTTTCTTTTTTAAACTTATCTAAAATAAAGTGTAAGCAAATAATACAGAGCATAATACTATAATCTATTATATTCTACCATATATAGCATTGTGTTAAGATAACATAGTTTTATTAAAAACTTAAACTAAAGTTATAAATTAATGTAATATTTTCAACTAAGTATTGTTTATATATTTATGGTAGTTGTTATCAATTATTGACAAAATATTATAAGTATTTAATCAAAAAAAACAAAAAAAACAAATGTAATTTAAAAAACAAATTTTTTACATATAAGAACTCATAAATAAAGCAAATTAAAAAAATTTAAGGCCTGTCAACTCAGCAGGTACTGCTAGCATGGAAGGATAAAATGTAATCATCCATCAACAAAACCCTTTCATTACTTTGAAAGGCATTTAACGCAAGATTTGCAATAAATAAATACAAAACTACTAAAAGAACCTCTATAAACAATCATATATTTGCTTCAAGTGAAGAAACTTGGAAATATTGAAACTTCTTTTACTATTTTATTTTTTTTTTAGATATTTAATATTCTAAAGAAAAAGGGACAATAATTTAAGGCAAAAAAATTAAAATGTCTATACATATAATATATGTATAGACATTTTAATTCTATATATTTTATTGTGTGTGTGTGTGTCTATATATATATATATATATATATATATATATATATATATATATATATATATATATATATATATATATATATATATATATATATATATATATATATATATATTGATGTACATACAAAACATTAAAATAATAATATAAAGAAAACATTCTCTATACAAAAAATCCTAAAAATTTAACAAAAGTTATTAAAACTTATGCTTCAACACGCTGTATACTTACTTTTATATATATAAAAAAAATTTGAGTTAAACATATTTAATGAAGAAAATCGAAACTCTTAAAAATTTTAATGAGGAGGAGCTGTTAGTAAAGCCTGCTTTTTAACAAAATTTATTTATTGTCAAAAGCATACATTGTTAAGAACAGAGGATAACAACATTAAAACACATTTTTTAAACAATATTTTTTCAACACATTTTAGAAATACACTAATTACAAACAGAATTAATTTATGTGTTTTATTATGACAATACACCACTCTGCTGGCGAGGACAATATTTTTGCTCTCAACAAAGCCAGGTGACATTATAGCAAAGTACACCACTTGGCTAGCGAGGTCAACAATCTTGCTGTAAACTAAGCCCAGTCACAACAATTTGAAACCATGCAAACAACATAATTATCACTTACAAACTATAAACATATTACATATAACACACCACAAACATTGAAACATTTCATATATTTACACACTTACAAAATATAAACCCATATAACCTTAACACATATATACACAATAAAACACAATATAAATAACACACATATATAGATAAATATATAAATTAAGAAAAATATATAAATTTGAAACTTTACAAATACAACCTTATTTTTGTTTTTTGAAATACCTCGTAATAAATGTTTAACAACTTTCAAAAACAAACTATCAAACAATCTGGTTTTTTATACGGATTTTTATAACTTCTTTTAAATAAGGTATTAAACGATCTTGTTCTTTAACATGTAACATTGAGTTGACCGTGTGAGATGCAAGTGTTTTAAACACTAACTTTATCAAGAGTTTGACCTCTTGACCTTTGAAATGAGCAACGTCTTCTTGAGTCGTCTTTTAATTTAAAAATTACAGATTAATTTTATAAATTAATAAATTTAAATACAATTGACAAAAGACTAAAATGCATGATTTAAATAAATCACCTGACTTTAAAAGTTACTTTACTAATTCAATAATAACATAATGTTCATCCTTTACTACAGAAGTTATCAAATAAAAATTGTTGATCTTATCACTAATTAAGCTGATGAAACAAAGTTTTTGATCTCATTACTGATTAAGCAGATACTGACAGATTATTAAGATTTGAAAGAGCCCCATTAGGCGAGTTCAGAAGTAAAGCAATTTATGATAAAACTCAAAGGCCAAGTATGGTAAAAAAATCCGTGTAAAGGTGCACGAATGGTGAGCAGCAGCGTTAAGTTAAGTATTAATTATAAGCGATATTGTTTAACTTAAATCATTAATTTTCTTATATTTAAGTCTAAATGTTATGAAACATGTGGATAAAAACCTTTAAAATAATGTAATCTTTACAAATGTTCACAGAAACAACATCATATAATGATTTTAATAATTTCAATTAAAGTATTATTAGCATTACTCACCCATAACCTTTGAACTATAATATATATAACTATATAATATATAACTTTTAGGTTTTAATAAGTTATAAATATTTACTAAAATATAATAAGTTACCTGATGGTTGCAATTGTTAACAGTAAAATGACAAAACAGATTTTAACAAATCGTATTAAAAAACTAACATTTTTAAATTTTTACAAAATTAATTACAAACCATTAATCATTTATTAAATCTAAAACTTAACAACTTATTAAAAATATGTAATATAACTATTGATTTATTTCTTTAAAAGGTTTTTATCTACAAACTTGAATTTTGTAGATTGACAGATTGTAGTTTTGATAGACAAAAAAGATTTGCTGATATTGCAAACTTTTTAACAGCTAAAAAATTGTAACTTTTTATAAAACTTTAGATAATAAAAAAAATGTAACAATTACCACTTCTTCTTTAGTGTTGTTTGAAAGATTTTTTAGTTTTTCCTTATCGTCATTGTTATTACCAATATTTTCAGCTGAGCTACTAACACCTTTGTTTTCTAATGGATTTGATTCAAAATGGCTATTTTTTTCATGAGACTTTTTTCAGGTAGATCCTAAAAAATCATTTTAAAAATTATGAAGAACGTGAAATCTTTAGTTTTATTTTGAATTTTCTATTATATATATTCCAAAATTTTTTAGCAAAAAATTGAATTTTAGAAAAAAATTTATAATAAAAAATGTATAACAATTACCATATCTCCTACTTTTGTGCTATTTGAAAGATTATTAAGTTTTCCTTCATCATCAGCTTCATTACCAACACTTTTTTCTAATGGACTAGACTCTAAACGATTATTTTTTTCATGAGGCTTGTTTTCAGGTAGATCCTAAATAGTCATATTAAAAATTATGAAGAACGTCAAACCTTTAGTTTTATTTTATATTTTCTATTATATGTCACAACATTTTATAGCAAAAAAATGAATTTTAGAAAAAATCTATAATAATTACCACGTCTTCTACTTTTGTGCTATTTGAAAGATTATTAATTTTTTCTTTAACATCAGCTTTATTACCAACACTTTTTTCTAATAGACTAGGCTCGAAACTATTATTTTTTTCATGAGACTTGTTTTCAGGTAGATCCTAAAAAATCATTTAAAAAATTATGAAGAACGTCAAATCTTTAGTTTCATTTTGAATTTTCTATTATATATATTCCAAAATATTTTAGCAAAAAATCGAATTTTAGAAAAAAAATTTATAATAAAAAATGTATAACAGTTACCACATCTTCTACTTTTGTGCTATTTGAAATATTATTAAGTTTTTCTTCATCATCAGCTTCATTACCAACACTTTTTTCTAATGGACTAGACTCTAAACGATTATTGTTTTTATGAGGCTTGTTTTCAGGTAGATCCTAAAAAGTCATATTAAAAATTATGAAGAACCTCAAACCTTTAGTTTTATTTTATATTTTCTATTATAGATATCGCAACATTTTATAGCAAATAATTGAACTTTAGAAAAAAAAATTATAATAAAAAATTTATAACAATTACCACATCTTCTACTTTTGTGCTATTTGAAAGATTAAGTTTTTCTTCATCATCAACTTTATTACCAACACTTTTTTCTAATGGACTAGATTCTAAACGATTATTTTTTTCATGAGGTTTGTTTTCAGGTAGATCCTAAAAAGTCATACTAAAAATTATGAAGAACGTCAAACCTTTAGTTTTATTTTATATTTTCTATTATAGATATCGCAACATTTTATAGCAAAAAATTGAACTTTGAAAAAAAAAAATTGAAAAAATTGAAAAAAATTTATAATAAAAAATTTATAACAATTACCACATCTTCTACTTTTGCGCTATTTGAAAGATTATTAAGTTTTTCTTCATCATCAGATTTATTTCCAACATTTTTAGCTGAGCTAAAAACACCCATGTTTTCTAAAGGATTTGATTCAAAATTGTTACTTCTTTCATAAGGCTTGATCTCAGCTTGCGCCTAAAAAATCATTATTAAAAATTTATTAGGATCCTGTAACCTTTATTTCATGTTTTCTATATGTATTTTAAACCATAAACCATAGTCTCAAACTCAATACAAAATTATTATTCAAATTCATTATTTATTCATGTAACTGTTCATATTTCTTATAATGGAACAAACTTTTATAAATCAGAACAAAATTTTAATTTGTGTTTCTGATAAGTCTCTAAATTTGTACAAGATTTTCTATAAATTATCAAGTTTAATAGTTTTAATAGTAATACCACTAATTTTATCTGGCTTGGACAGAAATGGCGCGCAATCGCACACTCTAACTGACCACGCTTATAATTTTTTTCTTTACAATTTGACCATGGCTGTTTTGATGTTTTAACAATTTAAATGCAATTTAAAAAATTTTTACGTTAAGATTAACTTTTAATCATTAATGTTTTCTAAGGTTTTATTCTATGCAAAGGAATCGCTTATAATTAATACTCAATTTAATGCTGCTGCTGCCCATTCGTGTGCATTTATTCAGACTTTTTTACCATTTATTATAAATAGGATTTAGCATGTTTCTTTTCTTTGCACTTTTGAACTCACGCGATGAGGTACTCTTAAATATTAATAATCTGTCAATATCTTACCTTAATCAGTGATTAGATCAAAAACTTTGCTTCATCAGCTTAATTAGTAATAAGATCGAAAATTTTTATTTGATAACTTCTGTAGTAAAGGATGAACCTTAAGTTATTTTTGAAATAGTAAAGTAACTTAAAGTCAGGTAATTTATTTAATTCATGCATTGTAATAATAACACAATTCAAATTCTTTGTCAATTGTATTTAAAGTATATTAATCTGGAATTTTTAAATTAGAAGACGATGATGACTGTAGAAAACATTGCTCTTTTCAAAGGGCAAACTCTTGCATCTCACACAGTCAACTCTATGTTACATGTTAAAGAACAAGATCATTTAATACCTTATCTTAAAGAACTTGAAAAAAAAATCCTTTTGTTTTTATTTAAAAAACCAGATTGTTTGATCGTTTATTTTTGCAAGTTGTTAAACATTTATTACTAGGTATGTCATTAAACAAATATTACAAAAATAAGGTTGTATTTGTAAAGTTTCTAATGCATATATTTTTCTTAATTTATATATTTATATATTTTTGTGTGTTATTTATTAAGTGTTTATATGTGTTAAGGTATATAGATTTTTATTTTGTAAGAGTGTAAATATCTTTAATATATATGAGTGTTTCTATGTTTGATATAATGTTATTTATTAATAGTTGGTTAGTGGTTATTATGCTGTTTGCATGGGTTCAAATTGTTGTGACTTGGCTTAGTTTACAGCAAGAATGTTGACCTTGCTCCCCAAGTGGTGAATTTTGCTATAATGTGACTTGGGAGTTAAGTGGTGTACTGTCATGATGTAACACATAAGTTCAATCTGTTTGTAGTTAGTGTAGTCATTAAAATGTTTAAAAAATATTGTTGAACGAATGTGTTTTTAAAAAATGTTGAAAAGATATATAGTTTTTTAATATCTATCATTTTTTTAATGCCTATAATTTTAAGTAAATTTTATTAAACAGATTTATACTTCATTAAATATTTTTTATACTGTTACTTTTTGAGTAAATTTGTTTAAAAGATACTTTGATCCTTCCCATTGAAACATTTAAGAGTTTCGATTTCCTTCATTAAACATGTTCAACTTAAATTTCCTTATATATATAAAGGTAAGTATACAACATGTTAAATGTCTTGCATGGTAGTCACAAAATTTTTCCCATAAACTTTGTGACTACCATGTCTTGCATGGTAGTCACAAAGTTTTTCCCATAAACTGTTGTTTTAAAGAGCGCGTTAATAAGCCTGACCAAAAAATGTTAAAAAACTTCAAAAAAAAAATTTTTTATTTAAATGATATACTGTCTGCCCAAACCAAACCCTCAGTCGATGTAGCAGCACTTCCTTGTGAGTCAGGCTATTTGTCAGTCGATGTAGCAGCACTCCCTTACGAGTCAGGCTATTTGTCAGTTGATGTAGCAACACTCTGTTGGTAGTCAGGCTGTAAGATAGTCGATGTAGCAACACTCCCTTGTAGCAGGAGGCTATAAGATAGTTGATGTAGCAACACTTACACATGTTTTAAAAATGTTTTTTAATAAAACAAAAACAAAAACACCACTAATTAAAAAAAACTTTCTAGTCATTATTATTGCGGTTTTTTAAAAAAACAATAAAATTTAATGTACTTCCGCATTAATTTAATTGCTTTGACATTTCGACGACAATAAAATGCAGCTTAAGAGACAAGGTAAAAAAATTGTAGTCGAAAGAGACTTTTTTTACCATAAAAGTCTCTTTCGACTACACTATAAGGATATATATATATATATATATATATATATATATATATATATATATATATATATATATATATATATATATATATATATATATATATATATATATATATATATATATATATATATATATATATATATATATATAATTTTTTAATTTGCTTTATTTATGAGTTCTTATATGTAAAAAATTTGTTTTTCTAATTAAAAAGATTATATCAATTTATTTATAACTTTAGTTCTTATAGAAATATGTTAAATATACTTATAACTTTAGTTCTTGATAGAAATATTTACACATTGCTCAATTATTTTAAAACATCTAATTAAAATAGGACTAATAGTAGAATAGAATATAATTAGAACATTATATTATGCTGTTTTATTTGCTTATGCTGTATTTTAGAAAAGTTAAAGAAAGAAAACTCAATGTTCAATCTAAAAATAAAGGTTCAACTTTTATTATTTTAAGCATCATTTTTACACACTCCTTTGATGCCTAATAATGTCTGATAATTTAATAAATAAAATCATTAGACTTACACAAAATAAAAGAAACCAGGTTGGGCGAGCTGAGATAAATTGTCGTAAAAATAAAAGAGATGAGCCTAGGCAAGCTGATATAAATTGTAATCAAAATGAAAGAAATCAGGCTAAGCGAGAACTCAATAGGTATAACATGCATCACATAGCAAATTTAGTTATTTTATTGTTTTAGTTCTACTCAGGTGCTCTACCAATTATCATATGTTTACTTTGTCTACTGTTAAAATATGGTTTTAACTTTTTAAATTTTAATTATTTAAAACTTGCTAAGTTGATCATTAGCTAATAGTTTAAAAGGAAATTATTTATCAAAATCAAGGTAAGAATTTATTTTTCTGATCAAATTGCAAAATTTGTTTGCACAGATAGCTATTATGTGTTTGTTATTTTGTGAAATAGCTGATTGTTTTTGCAATAAATGTCTTTTTTTACAGATTTTGACTATTTTTACCAATTTTATAGAAAAAGCGTCAGCAACAAGTAAATTGGTTTGTAATGTTAATCTTTAATGTTTTTACTTCTTTTATCATGTATTAATTTTTTAATTTAAAAATCTTACAATCCTTTTTCAGCTTATTGCAGATCAAATAGAGGACCCGCATCTCATAAGGCACATAAGATATGAGCATAAACTTATAGCAAAATCTTCACCCCCCCCTCCTTTTTTTTTTTTTTAATTTATTGTTGATCCTGTAGAAAGTAAAGTATGAGGAGAGAGAGTGGTAAAAAAAAAATACGCTGCATCTATAATTAGTATTTTTGTAGTTGGTTAATCTACCAATTGGTAATTGATAATGCAAACTTAGTTAAATTTTTTTGTAAATACATACTTTTTTTTATATATTTTGTTTTGTTATTATGTATAAATAAATTGATTTCCAGTTAATACATGTGTATTTTTTTCCTTTTTTAATCCGATTACTTTTTAGATTAATCAGATGACGTGTTTGTTCAATATAGACATACAATTAAAAACTATTAAAAATTGTTGTTTTTTTAATTTGTTAATAAATATGTAAATATAAATATCTTTAATTTTACAAAGCTATTAGGCATTTTTTTTGAAATCACAATCCTTCATCATTCGTATTTTATCTGAACAAAAGTCTATGCAAATATCTGACATAATCTTCAAATTATTAAAAATTATATTAAATGTTATACATTTACTTTTACTTGAAAATTTTATTAGGACGATATTTTCTTAATTTTGAGTTGTATAAAATTTTATAAAGCATTAAAAACCATTTTATAAAGTTTTATAAAGGTTTAAAAATAATTAAATGCTGTTTTATAAAGTTCAATAAGTATTTAGTTTATTAAACAGTGTTAAAAGATAATATTGTAGCATACCAAAGTGGTTGAAGTAATTCGCCTAAACCTTTTCATTTTCACATTTAATTTTTTTATCAAAGTAAAGCAATTTTAAAGATCTATTGAGATTATATGGGTATCATACATAAAGATATACTATAACAAACGAAAGGGAGATAATTTTTTAAAAAGCTTTTTAAAATTTCTAAAAACACAAAAACACTGTTCAAAGTTTGTTGCGCGCGTATGTCACGTTATAGATTTTAATGTGCTTAGTAGTAGATCAAGTGTGCACATTAAAAAGAACTTTTTTTTTATAGAAAAAAAATTTTACATGGAAACTTTACTTTTCTTTAAAATTAACACGTCAAGAGTCCTAATAACATGGATCTTTTTCTGAGTTTTTCTCAACTTTTAGTTTTTCCGGATAGCCAAAATGTTTTCTATACAAGTTCAGTTCAATACATTTTTATAATATATTTGTTTTTTAAGCTTTTACACTCATACTTGAATAAAAAAAAAATTTGAAACAACTCAGTTAAAAGCGAAATTAAGAGGAAAATATAATATGGAGCTTTTACCCAAACAATTTTTCGCATTTTTATAAAATAACCTGGATGATTTATTGATGATTAACAAATTTTACAGGAGAAACCTTATTGAATAATCTGCTGATGGCCTAAAAAAAAGTTAATAGAGACTTATTATAGAAAAAAATATTAAGGTCCGTCCCCGTTTTTTCCTGGGGGTTAAAAAGTTAGAAATATATA